CGGAAGAAAGGCAGTGAATAAATAAAGTAAATAAAATAAAATAACTTTTGTCAAGCTGCATTAATTCTACCATTTAGATTCACCCAGATACCTATTTTTGTTGTTGAGGGAATGTATATCCATAATGAGAAATATAATAATAATAATAATAATAATAATAATAATAATAATAATATTTATATTCTACCCTATCTCCCCGAGGGCAGTCAGGGTGGATTCATGTCTTCAAAAACAGCCTCAGCTAAGGATATCATGTCCTCTTTGACTGAATGCCTGGAGGAAGTAATGGTCTGGATGAGGAAAAACAAATTGAAACTGAATCCAGACAAAACAGAGGTGCTTGCCATCAAGGGTTCTAATCTGGGGGTGGAGGTAAGTCAACACTCCCCCTGAAAGACTGTGTTCACAGCTTGGGAGTGCTCCTGGATCTGTTCCTCCAAATGTCTGCTCAAGTCGATGTGATGGTTAGGAGTGCTTACTATCAGCTTCAACTGATACGTCAGCTGTTCCCCTTCCTGGATTTGGAGGACCTTAAGATAGTTGAGCACATGCTGGTAACTTCAAGGTTGGACTTCTGCAATGCACATTGGGCTACCTTTGTACCAAGTTCAGAAACTCCTGCTGGTTCAAAATATAGCAGCCTGATTGGTTACGGGAACACCTAGAAGTGAGTATATCTCACCTATCCTAAGTCGCTCCACTGGCTGCCAATTTCCCGACAAGGTGTTGGTTTTGACCTTGAAAATCCAACATGGTTTGGGTCCAGGTTACCTAAAGGAGCGCCTTTTTCCGTACAACCCACTCTACATACTGAGAACCTTGAGTTGGGGGAGGGGGGGTTACTCCAGCCTGCCAGAACCTGACTGGTAACCATCACCAAGAGAGCCTTTTCATTGGCTGCCCCAAGTCTGTAGAATAGCCTTCCTGTAAAGCTCCGATAGCTAGATCAGTTGTTGGAATTTAAAAACCATGTAAAGATTTATTTCTTCTGGCAGGCCTACCCAGCCAGTCTTTAAGCATGAATTTTCAATTCATGTCATGTGTTTTGGTCTCTATCCTGGTGTGATTAATGTGTATTTTACAGAAATGCTTTGAACTTAATTTTAATGTGTTATTGTAATTTTTTTATTTTGTGTTTTTAACTGTGTTGTGACCCACCTCAAGCCATAGGGGGAGGCGGGTAAGAAACAAAATTATTATTATTATTATTATTATTATTATTATTATTCCCATCCTCCATGAATTTGTTCAGCTTTACTGTAAAGGTGCCCAAAGAGCCAGCCATGTCTACAAAAATTCTAGATTTTAACTACATATTAAAGCTTAAAAATAAGTATTTGTCTCTTTGTAGGTTTACTTTTAAATAAGTGCTGCTGAATATCTAGAAAGATATGTGGCTATACTATTAAGACCTCACAAATCTACCTGCCTGAAATCCATAGTGGGACTAATACATAATGGTACCAGGGGGCATTTAAACACCAGCTAGGGAGTGCTGATGCATGCCGGTAGAACACATCCACACATGCTCATCAATACCCTAATACGTATCTTCCCAATCGACTAGAATCAAATGCTGCTCATTTATAAAGCACATGCTTTGCTAACAGAAAGTCCCAAGTGGTATCTCTGGCATTTCCAAGTAGACCTCCAAAAGATTGAAACTCTGGAGAGCTGCTGTTGACTAAGATTAATGAGTATAAAGCAGCTTCCTATGTTAGGATAGCTACTAACTTGGATGGCTATAAAAGGAATATTAGATCAAAGCCTCTTAAACATTTCTACACAGTTCACGGTAAACACTGCATGTGACGAGGTCATAAGTGATGTCCAGAAACCTTTTACTATTGCCATTTTTTGTGATCCCATCATTGAGCTGAGGGGACCACTTGGGATTGGAACCCAGAGTTTATGAAGCTGTACATTAGACAATTGTAATGATTACTAGTCATTCTGACTATATATTCCTTCCAGTTTGACTCTAAATATTGGTTTTTAGAGAATATTGGCAGAAAGTTGCTCCTCTACTCATATTCTCTTTCTGAGGCATATCAGAAATAGTGAGAATGAGTTACACATGGAAGATTATCTGTGTCATCTGGGATGGTTTAATATGTGTAATTGACCTGGTGGGATAGCATGTGACACAGCCAGATTGGAAACCAATTTACAGCCTCTACATGACTTGTTAACTCTAGCCTGTGGAAACATCCCATGGCTACTCTTGCTAATAGCCAATAGATGGTCTCAGCAAGAAGTTCCAATATTTTGTTATAAAAGTTGTTTTGGCCCAGGAAATAGTCATTGCTGGTTGCTGAACATAGACCTTCAGCCAGATGGTTAAGGAGAAGCAGGAGAACTTCCCTAATGAGACACTTTTGAGTATAGCTGTAAGATGTAAATAGGATGCTTTTAAGCAATAAAATCTGGACAGGCTGAACTAGTGATGCTTCATATTATTAAAAAGGGTTTCTATCCTAACAACCTTTTCTGGTAATCAACAGTATATTTTGCAATTAGGCATGCATTGGTTGACAGTGTGTTGGTCAATCTGTTCCCTTCTAAGCCCAGCAAGAGGGTGCTGCCAAGAGGGTGGGTTCACTTTTGCTCAGCGCTACCTATTTCCATGGATACAAACTAGAACATCCAAATGAATTCTAGCCAGAAACAAACTTTGCTTTTTGGAACCCATGTGTTAAGTAAAATACACTCTAGCAGTTTCCAAGCATTTTGGCCCAGTTTACTACCATTAGTCAGTACACTGCTTTATAATTCAGTCTTCACATCATATCTTATATATCTGAATTCCATTTAAAAAAAAATTATCTTATTCTACCTTAGGTTATTCAAAGATATGACATCACAAAGCTATCCTGCCACTTGGTAACCACAAAAACCTCGTGTGCCATGACATATGGTGTTTGAATTATCTTCCCAAAATCTGTCCAAGACAAATAAATACAGGCATGTTTTAATGCAAGATAGAATAATAGAGATATTTATTTTCGTGTAGGAGAAACATATGCGAACCACCTCTACCATGCAGATGTTGATAGATTTCATCTGTTTTGCTTTTTCTGAGAAACTTAACTCTGTCATATTTGTTTTCTAATGCCTTTATTAAGGAATCTTAATAAATTAAGGAATTATATAGGCTTTAGCCTATAAAGCCCTAAATGGTTCTGGTACAACTTACTTGTCCAAACGCATCTCCCTTTATGAGCCAACAAGAGCTTTAAGATTGGCTGTGGAGGTCCTACTCTCAGTCCACCCTCTTCGCAAGGGCGACTGGTGGGAACGAGAGGCAGGGCCTACTCAGTTGTGGACACCCTCCCCAGTGACATTAGACAGGCCCTATCCCATCTGGTCTTTAGAAAAAAAAGCTAAAGACCTTACTTTGTATGCAGGCGTTTGGAGAATAGAGTATTAGGGAATTCGACCATAACACTCTGAAAAATGTCTATGGATTTGGATAATGACTATGGATAGGCTTGAAATCAAAACTCAACGCTTTATGTTTATATGTTTTTAATTTGCTTTATCATTTTATGTGTTTTAATTGCTCATATGTTTTAAATGTTTTAACTGTTTTAAAGCTGGATGGTGTGTGTTTTATTTTTATGTTCATTGAAGTTTTGCCAGAGTTTGTAAGCTGCCTTGAGTCCCCTGAGGGGTGAGAAAGATGAGGTATAAATGAAGTTAAATCAATAAATATTTTAAATAGTACAGATGAAATTACCAAGAATGGTATAAATATATACTAGCCAAGAACATGGTAACTGATAAAATTCCAGATTTAGTGGTGAAGAAGAGAGGGAAAACTGTCATTAAAGAATATATGGTTTATCAAATTAATCTTGAAATAAAATGCATATTCACATTGAATCAACTAAATAAGCTAAATTCAGTTGATTATCTAAACCATTGGTTCTTAAACCATGGATCTCAACCTCAAATGGGGTCCTTTTAGATCAATGCTGGGGTTGTGAAAAATTTCGCAGCATTAAAAAGTTTCTGAATGCTACTTAGATAATTACAAAAATCTGTTAGTAACAGTGTGCATTGTTTACAATGAAGTCTGCAGAAAATGTACTTCATAAAAAGGAAAACCATCCTGTTTAGCAGGAGTCCCCGATGGTGCAATGGGTTAAACCCTTGTGCTGACAGGATTGGTCGACCAACAGGTCGGGCGGTTTGAATTCAGGGAGCGAGGTAAGCTCCTGCCTGTCAGGCTCTAGATTCTCCTCCGGGGACATGAGAGAAGTCTCCCACAGGATGGCAAAACAACAATCATTCTGGTGTTCCATGGGCAACGTCCTTGCAGACGGCCAATTCTCTCACACCAGAAGTGACTTCCAGTTTTTCAAGTTGCTTCAGACATGAAAAAAAAATCCTGTTTAGAAAGCCTTGTAAAAGCCGATTTATTATCAGTAAATGTTTGCTTTTTATACATATTTTATATATACCCAGGGCCTTGTAAAATTTTTCTTCAGTGGAAAAGGACTGCAAATGGAAAAGTTTAAGAAACTCTGATCTAGATGCTATGTACAATTATTGTTAGTGGTAACTAAAGTAGAGCTCAACACTTGGGTATACCTCATTTATTCAATAAGTTTACTCTACTTAAATATAATAATAGGATGTGCGCCTCTTTAGTCTAAACATTTAGATTTTCACTTAAGGGTTACAGTAAACCCATAGTTTGAGTCACAGATCAACAAATAAATGACTAACATGTTATCCTTGTATAGTCAACATTTTGATTGCATTAGTTTCAAATTAGCCTCTTTCATTTACATATTTGGTGACTTCGGAAAATATCTGTAATTGGAAATGTGCAAAGAATTTTTTAAAAAGCAGTTCTGAACGCATGGATATATCTATCACTTCTGAAATGTCAATTTTTCTTGTCTTTAAAAGCTTTTATCCAGACCACAAATAAATATGTTTCTAGTCCAACAGCCATATCTCAAAAAATACAGTTCTGCAAATTGCCTTACCAACTTCAGTCATGTAAGATTTTCCATCTGCTGGTAGAGAAATATACTGGTTAGAGAAGAAGCTGCTGCCGTACCCCAAGATGAAGCCTTCCAGTTTGGTGCTTGTGCTCGGTCGAATATATCTCATGCACACTCCATCACTAGTCACATTGATCTGAACCTTCAGGCTTTGTCGCTTGACTACAAGGGGAAAAAACAGAAAATATGTTACCAACTAAAACAATAAATCAATTATTATCAAGTTATCTATGTAGAGGATTGAACGTAATGCGTGGCAGGTGAATAATGAATGGTAGCCAATGATATTTCTAGTGGGGGAGGGGGAGAATCAAAGGTCTATTATATATGCAATCAAATGGTTCACCAAAGACATTCTTCTATGTAATATGTTTTTAAAAGAAGATTGTCAAATAAAGATCACATGACTTCTTTAAGAGCAATTGATCTTCATTTTCTTTCATTCTGCTCCATATGAAAAGTGAAAAGCTTCAGGATTACTGTTGTACAGGTATACCTCAAATAACTCCTGGGCATTATTTCTTCTACAGAAAATTTGGTGTTAGAGCCAGAAATAGCATGGAAAAACAACGACAGGTTCCTACAGAACCAAAAAGAAGAGCAGTTCAACATGTTTCAGCAAACTTTATTTGAATGACCTGAATTTCTTTTGCTTATCAATCTTAATTGTTTTCACCTTATGCTTAAATATCTATTTAAAGGTTTGTTTGTAATTTACTTTGCTGACTAGCACATTAATTTAAATCACTTTATAAATGTATTAAATCATTAGCACATTAATTTAAATCCCTTTAATAATTTCATCCATTGTTCTGTGATAATATGATTGTACGAGCTTGGGAGGTAAGAGGCTATGCTGGCATGGTAGGATCTTCCAAGCCAACAAGATTTTCATTAAGGAGCCAGACTAAGGCTGGAATTCTGTTAGGGACGTTTACACGCATATACTTCCCCTTCTCATGCTGATGTCATTTTAACAATACATTCAATGGTTGGTATTATTTTCCTCCTTCAGCAGTACTAAAAGCCTGCCCTCTACTTACTGAAAACTTCCTATAGCCACCTTGTAAAGCCATTCTGTGTTTTGCAGCAAGCAGGTAGGCTAAAAGAAACATCCAGCCATGTGCCCATAGCCAGGCACAAAATGATACCAGAGAGATCCACTGGGGTTCTCCAAGAGCCCCTTTTCACATATATACTTGGGTTATTGCTGTCTGAGAAACATGGAATGAGCATTCAAGGTGGCTTCATATTAATATGCTCAGAGTACATACTTCAGCATAGTCTAGGTGAACATGCAGATATTGACACTAAACTGAGGGAAGATTGAGGCCCCAATGTGCCAAATAGATGCTGGAGGAGAATCTCTCACAGGCAATGACAGTGGCACTTGCAGTTAATATTCTTGAATGCCTTATACCTTGAAAACCCTATGAGAAGATAATCCATACTGAAACAAGCAATAGTATCTCAAGAGGAGACTCCCAATTTGGAAGGCATTGGGACAGCTTCTGGAGAATATCAATGGACATGTATGAGTAGTACTGCTGTATCTACTGGTGCAACTAGACTCAAGTCAAAGTGATGCCCATCTGATGATGTGCTCAGAAGTGAAAGCAGTACAACATATGTAGTAGGAACATGAACGGTGAGAAGCATGAATCAGGGAAAGCTGGAATTGCAAAACAAGAACTGAAATGCATAACCATAGTCATATGTGGTGTAAGCAAGTGACAGGAACAGGACATTTTTATCAGATAATTACACAGTGCTTTACTCTGGAAAGGACCATCAATGAAGAAACAGGGTTAAATAAACAGTCAGGCAAGATGTGGCAAAAGATTTAGACAAACTGAATGGTCACATAATATACTATGTTATCAGAAAAAGAAGACTCCTGCAAAAAACAAAACCAGGAACACACACTATGAATGGCTGATATAAAATTAGTCTAAGGCTTAAAACGTACACATAATCAAACATTGAGTCGAAATGCAAACATCCCTGTAGAATTTTTAGACCACATGAAGAAGATTTACACTAAGCCTAATGGACAGGAAACCAAAAGAAACGAAATCAAAACCATGGATGTGAATGGTGAAAGCAAGACACTCCAGTCAAAAAGAATAAAAAACATAATCAGATGATATATGAAACTCTTCAAATGATTAAATAGAAGAAATAAGCAAAAATAAAAAATAACAGAAACAGAGTCAAAATACTAATAACATAAAGACAAAGAAATTTATTGTTTAAATCTGCAAAGAAACAGAAGACAACAAAAAGACATTCCAGAAACATTGAAAAATAAAAGGAAACAAAGTATCAGTAAATATGATATCTGATCAAGAGAAAAGTACATTGTATTATCAGAACAAAATAAAAACACGATGGAATCAAGGACTTGTAATTTGAAGATGAACCCATAATCTTAGAAAGTGATATGGCTTACAAAGCATTTGGGAGAAACAAATTACAAGGAACAGATGGCATACCAATAGAGTTGCTTCAATCTGTAGAGACAATTCGAATCAAAACTTGTTAACAAATGTGAAAAACAAAACATTGGATATGCATAGGTTTTTTGTAAACTGTGTGGCCCAATTATTGATTTGGTTTGCAGCTGACTAGGACATCTAGACATTTTAGGTTTTTTAATTTTCTTTTTCCATGATAAATTGGATGTTTGGGTGGATGTTGTTAATGTGGTCCAGGAACTTGTTCAGTTCTTCTCCACGGCTCCAAGTGGTAAAAGTGTTGTCCACATTTTGATGCTGTTTCCAGGTTTGTTTCTCAAACGGTCCATGTAAAAATGACAGGGCTAAGAAGGCTCCCCATGGCACACTGATACCCACATTAAAACCTCCAACCATTGCCCAAATTAAAAAAAGAAGCACAATCAAAGCCATGGTAGATGGCGCAAACAGGATCTGCCAACCCCACCTCCTCCAAGGTGCACTGAGCCACCTAAACTGGGCTCTACAGGCTGAGGGTACTCTGTGACAGACATCAGAAGAGCTGCAAGACCAAGAACAAGCCACAAGAGAAAATACAAATATCCATCTAGAGGAAAAGTGTTCTTACTGTACATCCAGGGAACCACAGATTACATAGAGAAGCTGATAAAGAAACACAATCTACAAACTATTTACAGACCCACCAAGAAGATTCAATAAATGCTACATTCAGCAAAGGATAAGAGGGATCCTTTAACCACTTTAGGAGTCTACTGTACACTGTGCAGCTGTGGACAAATCTACATAGGGGCCACCAAACACAGCATCCAGACATGAATCAAAGAACATGAAAGGCACTGCAACCTAATTCAACTAGAGAAGTCATCCATAGCAGAGCACTTGGTGAACCACCCTGGACACTGAATATTATTTGAGAACACAGAAATTCTGGACCGCTCTGACAACCATTATGTCAGACTACACAAAGAAGCCACTGAAAAACACAAGCATGTGGACAATGTCAACGGAAAGGAGGAAACCATGAAAATGAACAAAATCTGGTTACGTGTGTGTGTGTGTGTATAACACCAGAATCAAGACAGTAAATAATGAATACTACTCAGAAACAGGAGAACTCCAGAGAGCAAGCTATCAAATTCCAGTTAACACCTCCTAAACAGAGGATGCTTCCAAGCTAGGCTACCTTTATGCAGATATCCCCATTGATTGACTTGGCAGCTTCAGGGGTACTCAATGCTATTAAAGCTTGCTAATTGCAACATTCACACTTGCTTCAAACAGACAAGGGCTCTTCCTCCCAACCTGGACTTTCCACACACACACACTCCACTTGTTTCACTGCAAACAGATCTCTGAAGATGGCAGCTACGGATGCAGGCAAAACTTCAGGAGATAATACTACAAGAACATGGCCATACAGTTTGAAAAACTCACAGCAACACAGTAATTTTGGGCCATGAAAGCTTTCGACAATACATATATTTGATCACCTGTTGCATTAATTACAACTTTCTTAGTTTATGCTCAAAAGGATATATTAATAAATACTTGAAATTGCATTTTTTTAAAAAAAATGTAGGCAGTTGTAATAGAATAAAATACAGTAGGGTATCAGCCATCATCAGTAGAATGTACTCACACTACCGTGAAGACTTAAACTTTGAGAAATCTGGTAACTGTAAATGCTGTTTGGATTATTAATCATTCTGAGACATTTCCCTGTGCAGAGCCAATGTTACAATTCTCAGTAACATAACACTCTCTTTCTAGTACTTACATAAACATTCATACTAATTAAACTACTCTGTCACATACACTACAGACCATTGGCGCCTGTTTGCTATTACCAAAATGTGAGGTACTGAATTGCTTTTCTGGACAATGCTCTTGTCATGAAACAGGTGTAATTCAATCCAATCTAACAACAGAATTATTATGTATTCTAATGTAGAGCTTACTCCCAAATATGTTGGCATAAAACGGCAGCCTACACATCATTCTATTGGCCCAAAAGATTGAAATACTTGTTGCTTAGTTAAATACTGAGATCAGGTTTTGGATCCAAGCCAACGTATAGTCATGAGTTCAATGCTCCTCATTGTAAAACAATTCTCTGTAATGTTCATCTTGGTATTGTGGGCAATGCCCACTAGTGTGCACATATTTATGTACTAAGAAAATTATGGGAAAGTTTAGTACTACCAAATTAAACATTGATCAAACAAAAATTTCAGCCCAGTTTCACAGCATGTTCCTTTTTGCCATAGAGAGAAGGAGGGTTTTGCCTGGCATCAACATAATGGGCAGTTGTGTTTCTAATGAATAGAGGTGCAATATCAAAGGTGCTCAATTTGGTATATATTCATGGTCAAAAATAACAGGACTGCAATGGAATAGAGAGTTTGTGTGATAAAGTTCTTAGTTGAATTCTGAATGTGCAGAATTGTCTGTATACATGGCTTTATATTTTGCTAGGCTTTTGCACCTGAATGTGAAACCAAGTAGCTGATTACCCACTGGAGAAAATTATTATTGCCAAAAGACATTTGTTACAGATCTTATTGAGGTCAATGGCAATATTCCCACGCATTTTAGTGGAACTGGCTTATATTCATTGAAGGGAAATTCCTGAAGAATTTTGTCTTTTCTGTATCCAAAACCAATGGAGAGTCCTGACTCCATAGT